ATACTTGTCTCATGCTGTGATTTTTCTCTTGGAGGGGCAAGGACCCTTCGGCAACAAAAGCATTAGTGCAAAAACAGTGCAAAAAATACAAGGAAAAACAACACAGCAAAGCACAAGTACAACATTTGAGGCAAAGATAAAAAATGCCACCAATTTTCATTATGTACAAAATTTTTGGCTTTACAAAATTGTCTCATGGCCCCTCAGGCCGAACATATGTACAATGTCAAAAAAAAAGAGAGAAAAATCCTAGCCTAAGCCTCACCACCAGCCGAAGGAGGAAGTGCAGAACCAACATCCTCTTTGGGAGAGTTAGGGATCACCTTCAAAGATTCGACATCAAAGTCTGGAAGCATCGCCGCAAGTGCCTTCTTGGTGTCCTCGATCCCGTCCAAGTAAGCCTGGGAAGCGATACCAACCAACTCATCGGTTCGTTTCCCTGCCTCTTGGGCCCTCTTCTCAGCCTCGACTGCCTTTTGTTCGGCCTCTGCAGCCCTCTTAGCTGCCTCGGCCGCCCGCTTATTCACCTCGGCGATGTCTACCTCGGCCTGTTGGAGACATCGTTCAGCCTCAAAAATGAGGTTCTCTACACGAGTCCTCTCCATCTGCTCTTGGGAGAGGAGATCTTGTGTCTTCTTTAGCTTTTCTTCGGCCTCCATGCGAAGCTTTTGTTCGTCGCTGAAGTATCGTTGGAACTCGCGGCGCTTCTCCACGGCAGTGGTGGTGACTTGCTGAAGCTTGTCTTTCTCAGCCTCCAGCTTGTCCATGTTGGCTAGGGTCAATTTCAACCGATCCCCTAGCCCAACAAAGTGAAGAGAAACCTGCAACGAGAAAACAGTTAGCACCCAACAGATAAACGAAGAAAAGAAGGAAAGGAAAGGGGAGCAAGTTGTTACCTCGGCCAGGCTTGTTACCTCGGCCAAGCTCTGCAGCCCCTTCTCATACAACCTATTCGGGGCCATCCCCAGCATTTGGAAGCGGTTCCGTGCCAAGAGAGCCCCACTCACCAACGCCGAGCCAACTCTCACGTTGCGGATAGAGCCCCCCTCGCGGATCTCCCACTCAGGGTGGAAGATTTGGTCAGACCGCTGGGCGAGCTCCTAAAACGGCGTGGGAGCGGAAAATGACCTCATTTACTCCTTGTGGGGCCTCCTCGGGGCGTCACCGATAGAAATCCCGATGCGGGCCACCTTCTGTTGCGGTTGACCCCCTACGGCCCCCTCGGCTGGCCTCTTCCTCCCTGCCTCGACCTCGTCGGTAGGTTCTCTCTACACCTCGGTCGGCTGCTGCGGTGCTTGCTCCTCGTGCCCTGGCTGGCCCTCCTCGATGGGTCCCTTCCCCTTCACAGGGATCTGTGGAGTGGCTCCCTTCGGGGGAGCTGTTGAAGAAGTCCCTTTGGCAGGGACCTATGCTCTCGTCCCCTTGTTTGCAGGGGCTGGTGCCTTCTCCTTCTGGGCTGGTGTGCCCCTGGTGGGCCTCTAAGGCGTCTGTCCGCCAGCCTTTGCCCGCTCCTTCTGTATCACGCGGGCACGATCAAGTATAGCCTTCCGAGCGTCCATCGGCACCTCTGCAAACAAAACAGTAGTTAGTACCACTACACAAAGACGAAGATGAGGAAAATGTGGAAAGGGATTGCATGGCCTATCCTACCGAGGGGGGGGGGGTAGAGTTGAGCCCCACGAAAACCAGTGGGACCTCCTCCTCCACCAAGGGCTGGGCTCGGACTCTCCCCAGGTTGAGTAGCCGCGCGAGATCATCGCTCTCCTCACTCATAAGCAAGGGGACACTTTTCTCCGCAGACAAGTTGGCTTCTCCCCACAACGACTTGAAGGACCAGCCCTCGGGACAAGACAAAAAGAAGTATTTACTCTTCCAGTTGTGCACGGAAGAGGGGCTATCTACGGGCTTGGACTTGCAGGGTTGGAATTAGAAGACACCGGCTTCGGAAGTGTGCTTCCTCAGTGCGAAGACCGCCCTAAAGAGCTTCGACGTCAGCTCCACACCCTGGAGTCGGGCCGCCACCAGCATCGCCATAATGGTTCCTATTGCATTGGGCACTAGTTGGCTAAGGGTAATCCCTTACACCCTTAGCAGGTTAGAGATCAACGGATGAAGGGGGAATCGGACCGAATTGGAGGAAGTGTTGATAAACGCAAATCTCCCCCTCCTTAGGAGTCCACGGCCGATCACCCGCCTCGGGTGCCCTCACTCCATAGGATGAAGGGATGATGTACTACCTCATCAGGGCCTTAACCTTATCTCAATCCAAAGAACCTTCAAATTTTGGGTGAGAAGGATCAGTCTCGGCCGCCACCCCGACAACACTCTCAACCCTCATCCCAATGACAAGGTTCGGGTCCTGCTCCCCCTTGGCTTGGGAGGACCCCTCAGCCTCCCTCGGCGTCACAGATGGAGCACTCTCACAAGGAGGGTCATTGCCTCGGCAGATGCCTTTGGCTGCCCCGGAGGTTACCCTCTCCCGGAGCACCTCCACCTCGCACCGAAGGGGAACGGAAACAAAAGGGCTTAAAGTGGAAAGGGGAGAAGGGGTTCGAATGGAGCTCCCCTCCGATACATTTAGAAGTTAGTTCATAGCACTCAGGTTCAAAATCTGAGAAAGACGTTGTTGGAAATTACCTAAAAGGGGGAGTTAAAGGAAAAGAAGTGAAGGTAGAGTGTTGAAGACTAGAGAATCTGGGAGCTGAGTTCACTAGAAGGTGAAAGCACTTGGAGGCAAAATGACAAGAATTCTATTGTCGAAGCCCCTATTTAAAGAGGAATGAATGGCCCAGATTTCTCGAGATCCAATGGCTGAGAAGCCACTGCCTCCACAACCCAATCATGGCGTGCCACGTGACGCTCAGCCTCAGAAGGCGAAGCGACACGCTGATAACGGCTCGGATCATCTCAAATCTAACGGAAGATGAAACGACACTCAAGACAGACCAGCGCATCTGCCCACAGCGACCCGCCGATCTGGGCAACCCGTTCCCACGAGTACGCACATCGGTTCAACCGAAAGATCATCCTGTGCATGGATCCTCGAGCCCTATAGGCTATCAGCCTAAACAGCCTTCGGCTTCATAGGCCCTTGGCTTAAATGGCCTTCGGCTTCACAGGTCCCCGGCCTAAACAGCCTTCGGCTTCACAAGCCCTCGGCCTAAATAGCCTTCGTCTCCATAGGTCCTCAACCCAAATGATGGCACCAGAGCATCCGCACTGAGCGCACCTCCCAGGTCACTTGTCCGAAGCAACAGTGCTATAGACCACTCGCAGCTTCGACCCAACTTATAAAGATGAACCAGGCAAAGACGAGAAAGAGGATGCCACTGCAGGTTACACCTCGGCTACTGGGCCCACTGGCGCTCACCATTACTACTCCCATCAGTCGAAGCTGAATTTTTCTCTTGGCCTCGGGAGTGGGGGGCAAGTGATGTGGGGTGACCCAACTCAGCCCATTTGGGGCTGGGAGGCCCATTTGACCCGTTGACAGTCCTAAACCAAAATGGGGTCCACTATAGTTTTTTTATTAACCATAGTAATATAGTTATAGTAATTTTGTTTAACAAAAAAGTAAATTAATTTATGAGATCACATTTCCGCCCCACAAGAAGTCGCCCCACAGCACATCCCCGCCGTGTATTGAAAACATCTCCCGATGCTGACATCATCGAGACTAGTACTATCATCGGGAGATGTTTCCAATATACCACAGGGATGTGCTGTGGGGCGGAGATGTAAACTCCTAATTTATTGCATCTCCAAATGTCATTTTTTTTTTATTTTACCCTGTGAAGTAGGAGCTTTCCCGCTACTTAATGATAAAAATAATTAAAAACACAAAGATATAGAAAAGTGGAGTTGATGTTTGACCCATGATCACTGAGCTTATCAAACGGATTAATGGTTAAATACTTTGAATTACATGAGATAAGAGTAAATGAAAAAGAAAATAAAATTTTTTATCCCATTCAAGTTGAAACAAATGGAACCAGGGCCTAGGGGTAATCGTTTTCAGCTGGAGCTGGAAAATCCCAGCTTGAAAATTTTAGGCCTATGCTTAAGTTTTGTGTTTAGGCTCGGCCAAGACTCGCACATATTACATAAATATTATCTATGCATCTTTATATATGCTATTTCATTTTATATAAATATTATGAAACCTATAATACATATTATATATAATCTATTATATTAAAACATGTAACAAAATAAATTTTAAACACATATTCCATGACATAAATATAAAATATTATATGTTGAATATTGTGAATAAAAGTCATAGGCTCGGAATCAGGCCAGGTCCGGCTTAAAACCATTATTATAGATGCTAAGCCTGGCCCATGATCATCCCCTTCTTGGCCTTTGCCTCTTTCTCTCTTATTTATGCCCATCTAGATTCCAGAATGCATATTAAAATCAGTTTCAGTTACTGTAAAGCTTGTTGGAACAGTCATTATGGCCTTTATATTGGGAATATCTCCCCATGAAATAAAGTGTATAGATATATAGATATTTCCAATGCAAGACTGTAAAGGGCTGTTCGAATGTGTTCGAATGAGCTCTGCATTGACTAAAGCCGATCTCATGTGCATTGGACTCCCTGTGCATAATAACGTGTAAGAGAATGAGATATTCTTCATGTGTGTCTGTGATGTTATGTGGATAATAAGGGTGGATAGAATTGCCGTGAATTCCCCATGTGTGTCTGCTCTCACACTTGGCGCCTCACAGGCACTTCACACACACACCCTATGCATTGGGAACATCTCCGATATTTATTAGTTATTATTCACGGGAGATGTTCCCAACACACGGTAGATGTGTCTGTGAGGCGCCCATATGTGAGGAGCTGATCCTGGCTCCTCTCGAACTCATGGTGAAGATGTGTGGGTGTCGGATGATGTTTGGAGGGTGTTGGAACGTCATATTGGCAGGTGATGCGAATTCCGATTCCATCATGCCACTGTTCCAGCAAAACTCAGAATATAAAAACAGAGTGACGGAGCAGTCGTTGTTTCGGGAGCCCTCTTTTGCGTTGCGCTGTATGGGTATGGCTTTACCTTCCCTCTTCTAATCTTCCTCTTGCCTCCGTTCTCGGCCTCCGCAATTTCTTCCACCCAACATCGAAACATTCAAATCCGCTTCGTATTGAGGTATCACTTGTACTCCTCCAGACTTCTTTTTTTTTTTGCTTTTTCCTTCGGATCTTTATTTTGTTATCTGTTTATCTTTTTCTTACTATTTATGAACTTTGATTGGTTCATTTTTGTTTATTCGATTTGATTACAAGAACCTGCAAATGTTCATGATTTGGGTGAAAAATTAGGTTTTCCCCCTTCTCTCCTCTTTGGGTCCTATATATTGTTAGATATATATACATTTTTATAACTAACAATAATTTATGCATGACGGTTAATTTTCTTTGATTTATAGTAGGTTTTTCTTTTCTTTTTCTCTCTGTCTCTTCTTTTGAGATTGTTGGTGACTGATGGAGCTAACGGAACTTACGTCTCTCAGTGTTTCTGATTCCTTGGTTTCTCCCCTTTCTGTTGTTTTTCTCCTCAGGCCATTTGATGGAACTTTGGTCCTAAAGTTAGGGTTTTAGTGAGTGTTGTTTTACTTGCGGCATCCAGTTGGCGCTTCTGTCAAGTTGAAATCATATATGTGGTGATAGGTCACAGATGACTGCAGTTGTGTAAGTGCCTGCTCCATTGAGCAAAAGTAGCATCCACTATAGTTTCATGTGAAGTTCCTGTAAACTGTTGAAGAGGGTGCCTTTAACTTTGAGTAGAAAGGTAAAATGTATGGGAGAGCGGGTCTCGATAGATTTAAGAAAGCGCAATCAATAGAGCCATTCTCTGTGACTCTTAACTCAGCTCCTAAAACATCTACCCAATCTGCTGCAAAAACATCTACACATTCTTCAATTTCATCTTTCCAACCTCAACCGTCGGACCTGCAAACCCAATTCCAGCACCAACACCATCAACCTCAAAGACCCGTTGGACATGAACAGACAGTGTCAGCAGTAGCAGCTCAGCCAGTTACTCAGGTTGGTGGCGGGCAATCGACTTGGCAGCCTCCCGATTGGGCAATAGAACCCCGACCGGGTGTTTTTTATCTTGATGTTTTGAAGGATGGAGAAGTCATCGGTCGAATTAATCTGGATAAAAGGAGGCACATTTTCGGGAGGCAATTTCCCATGTGCGATTTCGTGCTGGATCATCAATCTGTGTCACGCCAACATGCTGCTGTCGTTCCACACAAGAATGGCAGGTTAGATATTCTATATGCTCTCCCTTTTCATTTCTTCAGTTTCTTTGGCGACTCTTCTATTTCAATTCTTTGACATGTTTTTCTTAAATCAGTATTGCATATGTAACTTGTTCAAAATCTATAGTTTCTTACAAGTTTAACTTTGGTTCATGCATACTGCCTACTGAGTACTTACCTTGCTTACTAAGTGCCCCCATTTTCCTACCACCGAGCTTGTCACTTGGAAACAGCAGGAGGGAAATGGTATTACCAAATTCAAATTCAAAGTTAATTAACCCACTTATTGATGGAAAATACACTCAAAAAGTTCTTTAAATAAGTTCAAATCCCCAAACAAGTGTTTATTCTATTTAAGGGCTTATAAAAGCCCCCTGAAGAAAAAGAAAAAGAAAAAGAAAACGGTGTAGCAATGGGTCTATATCAATGTGCTGATAAAAAAAAAGGTTTATATCGACGTGTTTTTAATCTAACAACTTGGACAAATCATGGCATTTAACTAATAATAGATAGATTTTCAGAAAAGGAATTCGGTGGCAAGATTTAAACCAAAACCCTTGGAATTTATGTTTCAAATCATAGATTGCATTTTAAGTTGTATGATTTTGGCAACTATCATTTATGGACTTCTTGTATTTCCCCTGCAGCATATATGTAATCGATTTGGGGTCTGCCCATGGTACATTTGTTGCAAATGAGAGACTGACCAAGGACAGCCCTGTTGAGCTCGAAGTGGGACAATCCTTGCGATTTGCTGCATCAACAAGAAGCTATATTTTGAGAAAGAACAATGCAGCTCTTTTTCCTCCTCCTCTTCTACCCTCAGAAATCAATCTGCCACCCTCTCCAGATCCTTCTGATGAAGAAGCTGTTTTAGCCTACAACACAGTCTTGAATCGTTATGGTCTGAGCAAATCAGACTTGTCTAAATCTGGCAAGGGTTCAGGGAACTTTTTGGGTGGGACTGATAATGGCAAGCCGCTGGAAAGAGCCTCTAAAAGAATTAGGAAAGCAAAAGTTGCTTTCAGAGATCAAGTTGGAGGAGAGTTGATTGAAGTTGTTGGAATTTCTGATGGGGCAGATGTTGAAACTGAACCTGGTCCAGTTGGTGTCAAAGAAGGTAGTCTTGTTGGAAAGTATGAATCCCTAGTACAGATCACTGTTATACCGAAAGGGAAGGAGCAAGCCTCATCAAAAGAGGAAAACTTCGCCTCAAAAGGCGTGACTGATAAACTACAGCAAGTATTGAACAAGGTCAGAGCTGCTCCAAAGAGTGGTGGAATTTATGATGACCTTTATGGAGACTCATTTTCTGGTAAAGTGGGTTCATCCTGGGCTTATGCTTCAGGCGGTAGTGGTGATGGACAAACTGCTGTATCTAAAGGTGCTCAGGCAAATTCTGTTGGTAATGCAAGTGGAAAGCGGGGAACAAAGTTTGGTTATGATGATGATGATGATTTATTTGGTGATTCGTTGGAGGACTAAGCACAAGAAGCTTCTGGGTGGTTTCCTACTCTGATGACATGATTGGAATTGCATGACTATAGGAGCTTGTTTCCTAGTAGTTTCCTACTCTGTACATTGGAAATTTTGTTGTAGTTACCGACTATTTTTTGACCTTGTTAATGAAAGATGTGCAACCCAAAACTGGAGATGACCCTGTAACTCATTCAACTTAGAGCTGCGGGTTCGATCTCTTGTCTTGTTTCCATAAAAAAGAGAATAGCAAAAGGAAATGTGGTATATCTTTGATACTGTTCTAATGTGGCCCTTAGTGCACTTTTTGATTGAAGTTAAACTAGGCATGACCCCGTATCAAGTATGCACTAGTATTTTGATATATTTTTTTACATATGTATGCTTATCATTTTTATTTAACACCCATTTTTTATCATTTAATTTAAAAGATTAAATTAAGTTTTATTTTTATAGAAATGATAAACGGTTATTTAGCTTTTTATTTAATTATCCGCGCTTTTGAAAGAGTGGTTTGACACTCAATTTTTTTAGTGATTTGAGTTCTATTTAAAAATGGGAGTAAATCACTTACGAAATGTTTTTTTTTTCTGAATTAATAAGAGCCACGTGTGTATATATATTTGGCTTCCGCTTTAGATTTGCTGTTGTTAATGACAAGTCCACATTTCACAATTCTTAAATTTTAGGCTCATTCGTTTTTTGGTAAGTTACTCGAATAAATGTATATACCTATGTTCTTTTATTTTTCAGGTAAATAAGACAATGACCTTTTTATCTATAAAAGATAAAAAAGCTATTATTAAAATRATCATTTTTATTTCATCTAAGTGTTGACAATTGATGGAATATCGGACGTGGCAACAACTAGGACGCTAGTGGGGAGTAGCTCCAGCTTCCTACTGTCTGCATTGGACAGTTTATCGTCCCCCTCACCGTGGACAGAGTCCCCAGTCTGAATGTGTCTCTTATAGTGGCACCTGCCATTGCTCCGCTCCCTTCTATTGTAGGAGCGATCATTGCTGAACCCTTAGTTGCACCTCCAGTGGCCAACCCGAACCAACTGGAGGACTTGGTGCAATGCATGCGGGTCATACATTCCACCTTAATTGGCTAAAATGTGGAATGTTATGTAGACGACATGGTCGTCAAAACCCAACTTTCTTGTGATTTAATACAAGACTTGAACTTGGTTTTTGAAATTCTGCGTAAATTCAATATGAAGTTGAACCCGAACAAGTGTGTTTTTGGAGTCGCTTCGAGTAAGTTCTTAGGGTATATTGTGAACCGGCATGGCATTGAGGCCAACCCGGCCTCTTAGCTTCCGCACTCTCTTTTTTCTCTTTCCCCAACGTTATGACTTAAGCTTTGGAGTATTCCCACCGGGTAAATCCCTGGGAATCCTTCTTTCCATCTTCTCAGGTGTCGTCCGTTGCCAACAAGGAGCCAACCAGCCAGCCAGCAGCCAGCTAGGAGTGCCCGGATCGTGCAACATCATTTGGCGCCGTCTGTGGGAACCGCTTCTAAAAGCCTTCCTCCAAGCTTTTACAACACTTCTCTTCCAAAAAATTTAGTATTCTTCATGGCTTCTTCCAGCAATACCAGACGTGGCAACAACTAGGACGCCAGTGGGAAGCGCAGCTCCGGCTTCCTACTATCTGCATTGGGCAGTTTATCGTCCCCCTCATCGTGGACGGAGTCCCCAGTCTGAATGTGCCTCTTACATTGGCACCTGCCATTGCTCCTCTCCCTTCTATTGTAGGAGCGATCCCTGCTGAACCCTCAGTTGCGCCCCCAGCTCCCGTTGGCGGACAACCCGTTCGATGTCCTAGTAGCAGGCTACAGATAGGGCCCTTCGGTCTAGAGCCGTCACCAGCAGTCCGAGCCTATCGAGCTCGGCAACACTGAGGCATCGAGCACCAACGCCGAACCAACAAAGCAGCAGCGAAGGCGCCGGCGAGCTCACCGAACCGCTTCTAGAGCCTCTCCCGAGCTCAAAGGAAAGGAGGAGGTGTGCTCGGCTGAAGTGAAAGCTACCCCCTCCTCTCAGTTCCTTCCCCGTTATCTCTAGAACTCCTTGTCGTTCCCATGCCAAAGGATTTCAAGCTCCCTCCTCTGGACAAGTATGATGGGTCTTTCAATCCAAATGACCATGTGGACGCCTTCCAGTCCCAAATGCACCAGGCACAGGCTAGCGAGTCCTGCATGTGCGTGGCCTTTTCCACTACTTTCAAAGGAGTGACCCGCACCTGGTACCGAAACCTCGCACCAGAGTCAATAAGAAGCCGGGCGCAGGTCTTCACCTCCCACTTCGTCACCAACAAGAGATGCCCGCGAACTCAGGAAAGCCTCCTCAGCATAGTGCAAAAGGAAGGGGAGTCCATCCGRAGCTACATCAAGCAGTTCAATGATGCTTGCTTGCAGATACCCGACCTGGATCCCGCGGTACGCCTCACAGTAGCTAAGCAAGGTATCACTCAAAAAGAGTTCAAGTGGCACGTAGTTGTCAACCAATCCAAAATCGTGGCCGAGTTCCTTAAGCTCGCGGATAGGTTTATTGGAACTGAGGAAGAGATCAACCAGAAGGGCGAACAGGCCCCAGAAAAAAGAAAAAGGGAACCAAAACCCCCATCTCAAGGCGACAGCAGGAAGGGACTACACGCCCCTCAATACAAAACGGGCCGAGATCCTCATGGTGATAAAGGACGCTCCGTATGTGAAGTGGCCACCTCGGCTGAAGGCCGACCCTAGCACCCGGAATAAAAATTTGTATTGCAGTTTTCATAGAGACCACAATCATAGTACCGAGAGTTGTAAAAACCTCCGCGATGAGATAGAAGAGTTCATCCGTCGTGGATATTTACGAAATTTTGTACAAAATAATAAGAGTAATAATAACAATAAAGCAGGTCGATAGGGGGAGCAAGGCAAAGACGCCCCCGAATCCAGCCGACAAGCGGAGCAACCGTAGAAGCAGCCCCTCGAAAGAGAGACCAGTTCGGGGAATCATCCACGTCATAATCGGGGGATCGATTGTGGCGGGTTGCACTTTAGCAGCAGCTCGCACATCAGCCCGTGAATCCAGCAAGGAAGCGCAGAACCCTCCAAAACGGCCAAGGACAGAAGACCCCATCTTCTTCACAAAGGACGATGCGCGCAGGGTCCACTACCCTCATGACGACGCGCTCGTCATAAAGATGAAGGTCAACGACTTCAAAGTCAAGCGAGTCCTCGTTGATTCAGGCAGTTCGGCGGATATCATCTTCAAAGCGGCCTTCGACAAACTCCAACTCCGGGAGAGCGACCTAAAGCCCGCAAACACTCCTCTGGTTGGCTTCAGCGGAGAGGAAGTTCGGCCCCTAGGAAGAGTAACGGTACCTTTGGAAGTCGGCACCTGGCATAGTAGGCCGACCGATTACCCACGCCTTACGGGCTATGGTGCCCACCTACTACTTGGCCATGAAGTTCCCCACAGACTTTGGTATTGGGGTAGCGCCAGGTGACCAACTTGAGTCCCGCAAGTGCTATGTTGCCGCCCTCAAGGGAAAAGCCAAGGTGGCCGACGACCTCGAGCTAGAGTGACCCTCGGAGCAGAGCGAGGAACGAGCTGCGCCCACGGAGGAGACTGTCTCCATTCCGACCTCGGCAGAGGACCCTACCTGAACGCTTCAAATCGGCGCATCCGTCGAGGAGCCCCTGCGGTCTGAACTAGTACGCTTTTTACTTAAGAATTTAGATATTTTTGCTTGGTCCGCAGTAGAAATGCCCGGTATAGATCCCGACATTATAACTCATAAGCTTAATACTGATCCTATAGTTAGGCCCGTTAAGCAAAAGAAACGTAACCTAGCCCTAGAGTGGTGGAGGGCAGTCGACGAGGAGGTCGGGAAGCTCCTTGCAGTCGATTTTATCAAGGAAGTCCATTACCCGAGCTGGGTGGCCAACCCCGTTCTGGTGAAAAAGGTTAACAATAAATGGCGCATGTGCGTCGACTACACCGACCTAAACCAAGCTTGCCCAAAAGACTGCTTCCCACTCCCCAGGATTGACCGCCTAGTGGACGCGACCTCGGGGCATGAGTTGTTGAGCTTTCTAGACGCCTACTCAGGCTATAATCAAATCAGGATGGACCCAGCAGACGAGGAGAAAACTACTTTCATAACCGAGCTCGGCCTGTACTGTTACAAGGTCATGCCCTTCGAGTTAAAAAATGCCGAGGCAACCTTCCAAAGACTTGTAAATAAACTGTTCGAGCCATTAATTGGCCAAAAGGTGGAATGTTATGTAGACGACATGGTTGTCAAAACCCAGCTTTCTTGTGATTTAATACAAGACTTGAACTTGGTTTTGGAAATTCTGCGTAAATTCAATATGAAGTTGAACCCGAACAAGTGTGTTTTTGGAGTCGCTTCGGGTAAGTTCTTAGAGTATATTGCGTAAATTAAAGCAGCACAAAGTTGGAGTACGCACTACGTTTCAAGTTTGCGGCATCCAACAATGAAGCARAGTACGAAGAGTTGATAGTCAGGCTAGCTCTAGACAAAGAAATGGAAGCCAAGCACATTATCATCTGCAACGACTCCCAACTCGTGGTCAATCAGGTCACAGGAGAATACGAAACTTGCGAACTGACCATGATTGCTTACTTAGCCAAAGTACAGGAGGCCCTGCTCAACTTCCAGTCATATTTCATCAGGCAAATCCCAAGGTCAAAGAATGCTGAGGTCAACGCCCTGTCCCGGTTGGCCAGCACCAGTGATAACACCATGTGGACCGTGTACATAGAGGACCTGCCTCGGCCTAGCATTCTCGGGGGGGCAGAGGAGGTCGCTCCCGTCGTTCAAGCAGAGCCGAGCTGGATTGATCCGCTCGCGAGCTTCCTGCTACACGGGACCCTCCCTGTAGACCGCAACGCCGCTAGAAGGGTAGAGCATTAGGCGACCAAATACGTCATAATAGACGAATGGCTGTACTGAAGATCCTACACGCTCCCCTACCTGCGCTGCATGTGACCTTCCGAAGCTGAGCTTGTACTCCGCGACACTCATGAAGGCCTGTGCGGCGGACACTTGGGGGGTAGAGCCCTCGCCCAAAAAGCACTACGACAAGGGTACTACTGGCCAACAATGAAAGAAGATGTCACCGAACTCGTCAAGAAATGTGACAAGTGCCAGAAGCACGCCAACATCCATCATCAACCCACTACCGACCTAAAATACCTCACCTGCCTATGGCCTTTTGCATAATGGGGGTCGACATACTTGGGTTGTTCCCACCAGCGACAGGC